AGAGAGAGAGAGAGAGAGAGAGAGAGAGAGAGAGAGAGAGAGAGAGAGAGAGAGAGAGAGAGTTTTAATTTATCTTCTCATTATTTTCTTCTTTTATTATTGACAAAAGAAACAGTAAGCCACTCCCTTAGAGACTCAATATATATATAAGAACCCAAACTACCTTTATACAAAAAGAAAAGACCCAGAAAAATGTATACTGTCATGGAAGCCATCCTATTTTTAATGTTAATTACAGAAATACTTCAGGACGTTGGCTCAGGTAACATTCCTACTATAATATCTATATTGAACTCTGTGAGGTGGGAAGTTTTCAAGGGCAAAATTAGAATGAAGTTAACATCAGGAGTAGGAAGAGCAGATTTATCTGCCAATGATAATCCTGGCATGATTGCACAAAGGCTAACAGTTTTATTATTTTACTATTTAATAATGGCATTAAATACTTTTTTTAAGACTTTGAATTTAAGAAGAGGAAATTCAGAAGGTAAATGTGTAAGTCTGCTGTACGTAGGACCCCCTTGGTGAAGTTGTTAAATCCTTTGCACATGTTACCAATGTAACAGTGGTATGACAGCAAAAACCCCAAACTTGCTTTTAATTGGGACAAGCAGATTTGGGTTTGCAAAAAAGAAAAAAAGGGAGCAAGAAAACAATAAAAATGGGTGATTTGTGTCTTTGCTGTTATTCTATTTATGCCCACAACATCAGGAGTCTTGAGTTATTTTTATTAGTTTAATGACAAGTGAAAGTGATTAAAAATGCTGTTCAAATGACTGAGTTCCACATGCAGCTGTAGCTTTTCAAACAGAAGCATAGATGCCAAGCAGGAATGGCTGGGTGGCAGTGGATTCATTTCTTATATAATACAGATTCCCAAAATTAGTATTACTTCTAAAAACACTGATAAGGACTTAAATATGTATGAGCATGTAGTGCCTAGCCATCTTCTCATACAGAGCAAAAGTAGTATCCAATCCATGTCTAAGCTCCACTTTTCCAGACTGTGGATATGGGCTGGCATGAACAAAGATTCCTTCATTCACCCCAGAAGAAAGTAGTTATTTTACAAAGAAAACATGCCTGTTGTACATTTTGACTACAGTTGTTTTCTCTAACATCATGTGTTTTATATATATATAAAGGTTTCTTGAGAATATATTCGCTGCAGTTGCATTCCTACCTAGACTGGAGCATATCATCTCACCAATTTTGCATGTGATTGACCGACTGATGGTTTGGGAATCACCACTTATGGGAAGCAAGGAAGGGAGGGAGGCAGGGAGGGAGGGAGGAAGGAAATTCCAGACTCTGTAGGCCAGGGGTGTCCAACCTTGGCAACTTTAAGACTTGTGGACTTCAACTCCCAGAATTCTGGGAGTTGAAGTCCACAAGTCTTAAAGTTGCCAAGGTTGGACACCCCTGCTGTAGGCAATCAATCAGTGAAAACAATAAATATTATCATTGATTAGTCCAGAATAAGCTGTAGCACAATATTTAGCCACACAGAAAACCTGTATTTGCATCTGCCAATAAAATGAAAAGTATAAAATATATCAGGTGCACCTGGATTGTTAGTTAAAACCAGTAGTATAACAACTGAGCAATATAATAGAACACGATCTATCTCAGATTCTCAATTTCCCTTGAACTATAAGGACAGATCCGGGGTATCCAGATTTGGGGTATTACAAAATTAATCCTTCAACCTGACTAATGTTACCAATGTTACCTTTTTGTTTAGAAACATAAGAGTAGTATTGAAAACCACAGCTGAAATTTGGGGCTTCTTTTGGACAAGGGTCACTGTTAACAGCAATAAATCAAAAGTAGTGTTGAACTGAACTTTTTTGCAAGTTAATTGGTTTGCAAACCTTATTTATCAGTAAAAGCTATTTATTCCCATCTGATTCAATTGGTTTTTTTAAGATGAAAATCAGACTGCAATCCAAAATGAATAAACCAATTGGATTTATTTCGTACTACTATGTCATATCTGGAGAAATTCAGGCAACCACAAGATGGCAGCAAGGAATGAGAAGTTTCTATATACAGCATTTTCATTGCCATCTTGGAGTTGGCCAGATATTTTTTCACCCTGGATGTGGTAGCTTTACAAATATAAACTTCCAGTTGAATTAGTTCAAACACAAAAATGTGTGTATTGGGTTTCAATAGAGTTTTTTGTTTTATTTCTAATGATTTCTAAGGATCCCTAACATTATATTAATATAATAATGAATTGCTCTCCATCTTTAGATTGGACAGGTTATTAAATGTAAAGATTTAGCTCCCCCTTGTGGAACGATGCTTTATGCCTTAATTTTGAAGAAACTAGATTTTGATTCTTTCAGTCAACCTTTCTGCGTATGAATTCAGTATTCTTTGAACTGTGCAATCAAATGATTTGTATGCATTTGGAAATTATTATAAAATAGCAATGATGGTGATAATTACTGTAACAATCTGCTTTTTTAAATCTCAATTTAGTGCCAGCTCTATCTACCGTGGCGACACCTCCAACTCCAGGTTAGTGTGATTACGCTCTTAGGTTTTGTAACAGAGATGAGCACCGCCCCCTAGAGCCGGAAATGAGTAGCACATATGTGCAAGGGAAACCTTTACCTTTACCTTTATACAACACTAGGTTAGTCAGATGGAATGTCAGACTAACTAAGCTAAAAAAATTATACCTTAGCATATATAAATCTTATATTTCATACCATCTTATATTTAGTAAAGCAAATTGAGCATCTAGGGAAAATGTGGTTATGTGCAAAAAATTCTCTTTTAAAAACAACAACATTCTTTTACATCACATTCCCAACCATATATAATCAAAATCAATCCCAGGAAGGTTTTCATTTAGATATGGGGCAGAAATTAGTCTGGTGCACATTTTAATGAAAATTTTCTATTATTTTGTATTTTAATCTCATATATCTGTTCAAAATTGTATTGTGAAAATTCTTTATGAAAATTGAATTGCAATGCAATATTCTTATCCTATCTGTCGTGTCCATCAAATATTTATATTAAGAAAGCACAGGTTAAAAAGCATATATATATTGATGCCAATGACAAACAAAAATGCTTTGTATTTGAGTAAATTTCTCGTAAAACATTGTTAATCAGAAATGCATGCAAAAATATGTAGAGCAGAACTGTGCAATTGTAAAACATGAGAATTCAGCTTAGAAATAGATGTGAAACTTGGATGTTTGTCACAGAACATAAAGCAACATAAAAATAAGGTACTTCCTGGATAGCTTAGGAAAAAGAAGTACTTAAGTGGTCAGAAGTTTCTCTGAGTTTTCTACCACCCTTCCTTAAAAATAAATGCATACAAATACCTACTATTCTGCCATTTAAAACTCACTTTGCATTAAAGTTCTATTAGAAGAAATGTTCAGCCTCAAGGTACTTACTTATATGATAGTTTTCCAGATGCTGGCACTATAATTCCCAGAATTCTCAGAATACTTAGTAGACACACACACACCCAAACTCAGGAAAGTATTCAGTGAAATGAAAGAATTAAACCTACTGTATTTTATTCACTTCGAGCTATAAACAATACTAATTTGTTTGCTTTGTTCTTGCATAGGACTGTCTCTCAGACTTGCTGGCACATACAACTATTGTGAGGGACGTGTGGAAGTGTATTATGAAGGAGCCTGGGGAACTGTCTGTGGCGAGAACTGGGATCTGAAAGATGCTCAGGTTGTTTGCCAACAGTTAGGATGTGGGAATGCTGTAGAAGCCCTGCCCTGGCCTAAATTTGGCTCAGGCTCAGGCAAAATTGTCCTAAGTGACGTACAATGCAAAGGAGATGAATTTTTTCTATGGGATTGTAAGAACTCTGGATGGGAAGTGCATAACTGCAATCATCAACAGGATGCTACCGTTCTCTGTACAGGTATATGCGGGTTTTCTTAAGTCTTGATTTTTACTGGAAGTGTGGAATCAATATGGTTATTTACTGACTAGTATTGTAGAACAGCGGCCCCCAACTTTTGAGCACCAGGGACCGGTTCTATGGAGAAAGGTTTTTCCACAGACCGGAGAGAGTGTGTATTTACATGCTGCCTGCATCCCACAGGGGTTCATTTGTTTACAAGGCCTGGTTGCTGGCATGCCACAGACTGGTTGCAGGTCCACAGACTGGGAGCTGGAGACCCCTGCTGTAGAGGCACTCATAGGATAAGATGGTTCCATAACTACATATATTTTCTTTATGGTTTCTTGTCATTTCTTGTTGCATCAGTTGCCCAAATCCAACATACTTTGAGCAGCATACAAAACTGGAAAATCCATAAAACTGAAAATATCAATATCAAATCAAACAGACATCCTAAAGTAAAACTAACTTGTAAACAACACAAATCAATCAAACAAAAAACACAATAATACTGATACATCAACCCCAGGCCTGAGACCAAAGCCAGGTTTTAGAAGTTTTCCAGAACCCTAGAAGAGAGGGTTCTTATCTATTCTGTTTCAGAGGTTGGGGGCCATTACAGAGAAGGAAATTATTCATTTGAATTTCCCAGGCGATTAAATGACCTCTTCACTTACAATGGCAATTGGGACCAGAATTTCTATCACAAAGTAGGGTGGTCATAACGAATGACTGTATCACTTAGGGTGGGCAGTTCCTACAGCCCAATTGCTGTTGTTAACGGAATCTCAGTGTAAACTATTAGTAGTGCCTTACCAAATGTTACACTAAAGTATGCTAAATGTGGGTTTCCTCAAATGTCTAGGCAACCTTTTTAGTGGGATTTTTAGTTAATCATTCAAGATGAACTATGAGTCTGCAATAGAAAGAAGAAACAGAACAAGTACTGGAAGGCAAATCTTGAATGGCCCTTCCACATATTCCGTTGCATACTGTATGCTCTCTTGGTTGCTGCCTTTTTCATGATAGTTCCCATGGCATTCTGTTAATATTTGGATAACTATGAACATATGGAAAAAGAGAAGAGTGTGGGAAGTTGTGATAGTTTATCTGTTAGTCTCCTAGGAAAGACAGAGGCTTATTTGAGAATGTCTGGTATAATCAAATTCTCCTTTGTGAAGGCAGCAGTTCAAACATTTGAGTATTTACTGATTAAATTCTAAGGAAGATGAAATCTTATTACATAAAATAGTCATTCTTAATTGTTCAGCTAATCAGTGTAGAACAATGCTATTCCACAACTCCAATGTCATTAACATTTCCCACTCTTTCAGTTGCTATACAATCCAGAAATAAACTATAGAAGAGTCTCAAACATTAACAATTTTAAGGTTGAAACCTCAAGAACAATCATGATGTGCTCAATTTTTTCAATGCTGATGTTGCACAATAACCACATATGAGTCTCTTAATTACTGAAGCAGAGCTGACCTTGTAGTTGGGCACAGTCATGTAATGTTTCATTCAGTGACCACATTGTTTACTATCAAAGTTGCTGGTTCCTATTGTGGTTAAGTGAGACCTGCCTGTATTTTGTTCTCTAAATGTATTTAGAATGGTCTTCAAATTCAGATCAAACGCCAGATCATGACTTGCAACTACTGTTGGCTTCCCCATTGATTTTGCTTGTCAGAAGCTGGCTGTGAAAGTCACAAATACCAGTCATGTGATTGTGGTACAATGCAACCATTGTAAATGCATGCCAGTTGAGAAGCACCCATATTGTCATCATGTGACTGCAGGGATGTTGTGATGGCCACAAGTTTTGAGGACCAGTGCCATGAGAACTTGAATGGTCACTGAACAAGGTAGTCATTAACCAAGAAATATCTGTAATTTTTTTCTCTTACTTATCTCATTTCCCTCAGTTCAGTTTTATTATTTGTGCTAAGCAGTGTCTTAAGCAAAGATCTTAAAATAAAAAAGTTTAAAATAAAAAAGTTTAAACAACATCCATGTGGTAATGATTAATTAATCATTAATGTTTTAATTTTATGAAAATTGTTTTTTTTATAGGTGAAAAGTATAGACCAGGTATGTAAGTCTTCTCTTTCATGTTTATGAATATTTTTCTATGTTCTGCATAATAATAATGTACCAAACTGTGGAGCATCTTATCAAAGCTGGTATCGTCCAGGTTTTTTGGGGATTTCATCACTACTGGTGGGAAATAGGTTGCAAAGGGCTATTTTGGGAATATTTTTACATTAAAAGTCTTCACAATAATAGTATTAATGATTCACAGTATGGAGTTTGGTATCAGCTTTAGAATGTTTGTGATTTTGCAAGTTCTATGGAACTAAGACCACCATAAATTTTATAATTATAGTTCTTAGGGAAGATTATGAATAAAATCGTTAGTAGATATTACTATGGATATGGTTAATTCAGGTAGGACTGCTCTTCCTTCAAAAGTCAAAGTGTATTGTTCAGAACCAAATGAAAAAGGCAAACAAGCATGAAATTAACATGATAGAAGTCTGTTGACAAAGTCATAACCAGAAACCAACATGGGTTTGGCAAGATCATGCTAGACAAAACTTATTTCATTCTTTGACTAAGTGACAAATTAATAAACCAGCAAAATGCTGTGGATATAATTTACTTGGACTTCAGTAAGGCATTTGATAAAGTAGATCACAACCTATTATTTGATAAGATAGAAAAATGTGGGTTAAACAGCATTCCTACCAGATGGATTTGTAACTAGCTGACCAACCACCCTCAACATGTAGTCTTTAATGGAACCGCTTCTATATGGAGGAAAGTATGCAGTGGGGGAGCCCAAGGCTCTGTCTTAGGCCCAGTACTCTTTAGCAATAGCACTTTGACTTATATACCACTTCACAGTGCTCTCTAAGCAGTTTACAGAGTCAGCATATTGCCCCCAACAATCTGAGTCCTCATTTTACCCACCTCTGAGTCAACCTTGAGCATGGTGGGATTTGAACTGCCAAATTGCAGGCAGCCGGTAGTCAGCAGAAGTAGCTTGCGGTACTGCACTCTAACCACTGCACCCCATGAGGCTTTAATGATTTAGATAAGGGGGTAGAAAGGGAACTCATCAAACTTGTAGATGACACCAAGCTGGCAGGAATAGCCAATACTCCAGAAGATAAGCTCAAGATACAGAAGGAGTGCTTATGGACAATCATTTAAATATGTGCTGCAGCTGCCAAAAAAGCAAACACAGTCCTAGGCTGCATTAACAGAGGTACAGAATCAAGATGACGGGAAGTGTTAGTATCACTTTATAATGCCTTGGTAAAACTGCACTTGGAATATTGCATCCAGTTGATCGCCGTAATACAAACAAGATGTTGAGAGTCTAGTCTAGAAACAGTTCAGAGAAGATCAACAAAGGTGATTAAGGGACTATAGAGGCTAAAGCATAGGAAGAATGGTTGCAGGAATTGGGTATGCCTAGTTTAATAAAAAGAAGGGTTAGAGGTGATTTGATAGCAATATTCCGATATCTAAGGGGCTGCCACAATTAAGAGGGGCCAACTGAAGGCAGAACAAGAAGCAATGGATGGAAACTAATCAAGGAGATAACCAACCTAGAACTAAGGAGAAATTTACTGAGTTAGACAATTAATCAATAGAACAATCTGTCTCTAGAAGTTGTGGATACTGCAACAGTGGAGGTTTTTAAGAAGAGATGAGACAACAGTTTGTTTGAAATTGAACAGGATTTCCTGCTTGAGCAGGGGGTTGGACTAGAAGACCTGTTTTAGTTTTTAGTGAACATTGCACAACCTCAATCATATGATGTTTGATTACCTGACAATATCTGAAGATGTTGAACTTTATTGACGTGAAGCGGGAAATTGTGCATATGTATGTGTTATCTACAGACGTAGATGTAAATAGATTGCAGATTTAATAATCACATTTTATTATATCTTCCAGCTGGAACTGAAGGAGATGGTGAGTCTGTGTTTAGGATTTTTCCTTTTAAAGAAAACAGTCACTTTTAAAATATTTTGCATGAAATAAATTTCTTCAAAATTTTCAGTAAACTATGAATGTACAAAGTTGAGCAAATGAAAAACCTTTGAATGTAATTAACATTTTGGTTCGATTGATTCATTCAGATAAAGATTGGAAGTGAACTGCTTGTGACCTCTTCCTGTAATTTTACTTTTTTCCTAATTATTGTGACTCTCTATTCTCTAAAGAATAGGGTGCTATGGATTTACAACTTGACAAAACTTACTACAATTTCTTAAAAGCAACTTGGAGAAGAATAACTCACCCCTATTAAACTACATCTGTCTAGAGTAGCATGCATGACATGCATGTTAAAGAGTTATTATTAAATATTAAAGAGTTCCACATTAAAAAGCACAAAACTCTTATTAAGTAGTACAAACTGTAAGACCTGTGGATCACATATGACTTGATGGAATATCCAGTGAACCACACAAATCCTTCAATCCTTGAGACTTTCCAATCTTCTTTGATGCTCTCTGAGCTTTGGTGAGACCCAAGGAGTCCACAATTCTGAGCAACAGTACATATATTTTCTTCTATTCTTCTCTTCCTCTCCTTTCCTGCTGACCTAGCCCCTTTTGCTTTGCTTGCTACTCTATTTCTGGCCCATTCCTTTCTTTTATTTGCATCTGCCCAGTCCTCATTTGGTCTTTTCTCAACCCTGGCTGCTTCTCTTCTAGTTTCTCCATGCTGTTTGTCTAGTCTTCCACCGGATTTTACCCAGTTTGCCTGTTCCCCTGAAGTCTTTTCACAACACCTCTTCCTACCCATACCTGACCTTTTCCAGACCTCCCATAAGTCTGTAACCTGTTGAAAATGTTGCAACTTGTTTTCTACCTTCAACTTAAAAAAAAACAAAACTGAAGCTCTCTTTTAAAAATGATCATAGCCTTCCTGACTACAGGAAGAAAGGCAAGAAAGGTCATAAAATGAAACAAAATTCACTTAACAACTGTTTTGCTTAGTGACTAAGTTTTGGGGTTTTGGGGTTCAATGTGGTTGTAAGCCGAGGACTACCTGAATTGACTAAAATGCATCTCCCATCACTCTTTTTGATCAGACAAAAAACAAAGCCTCAACTTATGCATTTTTCTTAATTTTTAAAATATGTCTATAATCAGCCGTGCTGACAGCAATCGTTTTTGCCTTTTTTTCTCCCCCCCCCCCCCACCCAAAGTGGTGTATATGGAGCTGGTGGATGGCCCAAACCAATGTGCTGGTCGTGTTCAAGTCATTTATTTTGCCAACTGGAGACATGAGGTTTGCAGTGAAGGTTGGGACATAAGAGATGCTCAGGTTGTCTGCAAGACACTGCACTGTGGCGATGCTGTTGCTGCCTTGACTGATGGCTCTTTTGGTAAAGGGAACAGTGGCCCTTTGATGACTAAAGTTGATTGCTCTGGGTCGGAATATGATTTACTGTCATGCCCATATGAGTATCGTCCTGCTACATGTGGAAATTACAACGATGCTGCTGTTATATGCTCTGGTAGGTATTTTCTCCTGGCTTATGAAAATTGTCAGATATATTTTGCAAGTCATCCTTCTCCTTCAGGAAATTTTGTTTTGTTTAGTCAAGTTATTTATGCATTTATTATTCACAGTGCATAGCTTATCATCATGCATCTTGAAACTATTGAGCATATCAGTTAGGAAGATTCAACATTTCATTGATTTAAATGGTGTTTGCAAAAAGGTTAAAAATAATTTCAAAAATAATCTCTCTTTTTTGGTAACTTTTAAAATGCGATTTAATTTTAAGCTTCATGAATTACTAGTAGGTCTCCTTTCTTTGGCACATATATTCAGCTGCAATTTAGTTTTTCCATCAACAATTCTCTTTGTTTAGAATTGATCATATTCATTGACAATGAACTTCTGTTAATATTTAATCAGAGTTCTCTAGAGATGGATCAGAAAAAGAGTTTTGTTCAATGTAAATATCCTTAATGTGTAACTATCTAGTCCACAGAAAAAGCTCTCTGTAGTATTTTACTCCACGGGTATTGTTTGAGTCAAAATACATGGAATCAATGGAATCACACTAAGAGCATGACAGAAGTTCCTGTCCGCAGAACTTTCTCAAATTAATATCTATTTTCAGGTTTTGCACTGTAAGCCCCAAGAGCAGCTATTTTTGACAACAGCATGAACACCACTTTATTTTTTTTAGCTGGAATTTCAGCAAAGTCTCCGTAGACTTTTTTGAGATTCCATAGCTGCAACTATCATGTTGTCTTGAATAAGAGTAATCTTTCTAAGCAACTTTGCTTTGCTGTTCAATCAGTTGAGGCTAGAATTTTGAGTTTTCTAAAAAACTAACCAGACTGGTTTTCTTTTCCTAAATCATATGAGTCTTAACCAACTTAGCAATGACTAAATTTCATTAAAATTATTGGAACAGCAAATAGTTATGACTAAGCCACGCATCATTGGTCTCAGCAAATCATGCCTGATTTTAGTTGGATTGGAACTATTTTCTTGATAGTTTCCTTTGTTTGTTCCAAGAAATCCATGCCCCAAATCTTAGCTGAAGCATATTTTTCATATTAGTAGAAGCTTTAAAATTTTATAACAAAGGATTGGCTTAATTTCTTTCACAGGGATTTTCAGAGAGTGTCTTGTTCCCTACAGGGAATGCAGGGCTGATCCTATAAAAATATAATTCCTAATATAGAAAGCTGCAACAATTCAGATCAGTTATTTATCTATCCCACCATCATAAATTATGACTGGCAGGGATTTTCTAAAGACTCAAGCAAACGGTTTACACTGATCACTTGCTTTCTCATCTTTAAGTTAAATAATGGAGGAGAGAATCAGAAAGTTTCTGATTTGAGGCATTTCTTAACCATGGACCTATGGTCCTTTCTTAGAAGGACATCATGGCCTTGTAGTTGCTTGAAAGACGATGGTGAATCTGACAATGATGATGATTTAAACTTGTATATACAGATTCTTTTTGAGCACTCAATTTATCTCCATTTACAGATTCTGGATTGACACCAACTGGAATGCCAGGTAAGGTTACAGTCAATTGTAATATTGTATTGAATATTTTGTAAAGACCAAACTCAGGGGAAGTAACATTTCCTCACAGTTTAAATTATCATTAGGGCATAAGCTCTTTTGCACTAGGTTCAGTCACAAGGATATGGTTTGGATGGTTTAAGTTTTGTAACAAGAGAAAGTGCTGCTTCCTTGCCATAGGCACATCTGTAGGATTTAGACAAGTGATAAATCATACAATACCAACAGGAGATGGTAATAGGAAGGATAAGATGTCAAAGATAATATCAATACAGCCTACTACATGGGTAAATATTTTTAGTCCCAAGCCTAAAGTGCTGTGCTGTGGGAATTAGGTGTTCAGCAGTGAGGGCACTGGGTGGCGGGACATGGCTATCTTTGTGTCTAGTTGTTTTGGCATGCAATGCTCTCTAACAGCATCCTGAGGGAAACAGTTTACGTCCAAGATGTGAGGTGTTTATAGATATTTTCTAAGCCCTTTCTGGTTTGTGCAGTATACAGATACTCAATGGAAGGGAGGCTGGTTGCAATTGTTTTTTATGCAGCCCTAACTATTCATTGAAGTCTGTGTTGCTGTGCCAAAGCAGACAGTTACTGGGGTACAAATGACAGACTCAATAATTCTTCTATAGAACTGTATTAGCAGATCCTTGGGCAATCTGAGCTTTCTGAGGTGACGCAAGAACATTTTTTGTTGTGCCTTTTTAATGATATACATGTTTTCTGGACATTCAATTTATCTCCATTTACAGGTTTTGGATCAAGCCCAATTATTGTTTAGCAGGTAAGCTTTAAATTAATTGGGATATTAATAATATATAATAATATTAAGGCTGATTATCGAACATTTTATAATGACCAAGTTCAGGGAGGCAAAATTTACACACATTTGGAATTACTTTTAGGGTTGGGAAATTCTTGAAGTCCACACATCTGAAAGCTGCCAAGACACAGAGTTAGAGACTTCTCCTTCCCCCCCCACTCAATTCTTCCTCCTAACCCCTTAGCCAATTTCATCATTTCATTGATTCAACATCAATTCCACTTTTGCTTTTAGGAACTCTAAACTTTTACAGTACATCCATATTCCAGATGTGTATGTCTTAAATATTTCCCAAGTGCACTTCTAAATTTTGCAGATGTTAAACAGCATTCCCCAGGTTATTGCATGTTTCTTGGGAAAAGATACAAATTCAGCCAGGGCTATATTAAGATCCTGCTGGGCCTAAACATCTGGGTTCCTATTGGAATATTACAGACATTCAAAATTATAAAGATATTCCATGGGACTATTTTTCAAAAAGTTCCAGATAATAAGTGGCAGATAAGGAGTAACACTCTCTTAGATTATTTTATTCATTTTTATTTATTAATTTTTATGCTTACTGATAAGATGTACAGTATGGATTTTGAATTTATTGTTATTTTTCTGGTTTTTGTTTTTATTAATAATATTTTTGTATGCCCCAACTATTTTGTAGGTCATAGGCATAAATTCTATTGCATCTAAATAGAATATATACCATAAACCCATCTGGAAATGATAATAAAGAGAATACTTGAAGCAGGAACTATCAAGATTTGAGAGAAAATTTTCAGGAAGGTCCTGCAAAAATGTTTTCTTAGCAAGCCAAAATAATCTAATAATTTAGTCATTTTGCATTGACTGATCAAATATTCGACTGCAGAATTCTTTCCAACCCGTTAATCATCTTCAACTACAAACTAGTCATTCCTCAGAAAGTGTTCATATATTTGCACAATCATAGTACATAATGATTCTTGGGATGTATTGCCTTTCCATAAAATCGTAGTTTAGTGGTTTGATTAATTGTCAATATAAGCTGTGCATTTCTCCAATTTCAGTACATTGACTTCGGAAGCTTATGTTGTTTTGCATTGACTGAGGAAGCACATGAATAGCTCACAGATCTGGAATGAACCATCGGCTGACTTCACATTGATTTATTAAGGTTAGGCTGCTGATGAAGCAAATCAGTGGCCTCTGATACTATGTAAAAGTCAACTCAATTAAAGAACATCCTTCTGAACATCCAGAAAAAAGGCATAGACCATGAGCCTATTATATTATTTACATTCACAATAGTACATCCTGGATGGAACTACCAAGGGACAGTAATGTGCTCCTTTATGTGAAAATTATGAATAAATGCATTGGCTTAATCGAGTAAGCAATAATGTCTGTGCGTGTTCATTACATAGTATCTAGTAAAATCAATGGTATTTCAGCTTCAAACTACCCTTCATCTGAAAAAATAGAACAATTTTTTTATCAGGAATAACACATTATATAAGTGAAAGTGCTTTAATTAAATTACAGTAGTTTTTTTTTAAAAAAAATCAGCATAGGTTCAGGACTTGCATGTGTACAAGTCATTTATTTCAAATATTTTCATATTGTTAACAGTTGTATCTTCGGGAAATATCAAGCTATTAAAAATGGAATACTGCAATGTATGTTTTACAGGTGGTTTAACTTGCAGATCAGAACTGATGATCACTAAAGTGGTAGTAATAGATGGGTAGCCAGTAAAAATACATAAAAGATAACATATGGAGCTCAGGCTGAACTATGTAGTCCTTGGTGATCTCTAGCTTGGATGCTTGTTTGCGGATGTTTCCTACATGACTAGATAACATTATCAGTGCTTGTTACTTTGGAGTTTGCTCATTGTTTATGTACAGTAGTTGTGTTTTTCTCTTTGGTAGATTCATTTAGGATACTACTTTCTGCTTGATTATTTTTCTGGTGTTAATACCTGCTTATCTGGTTGCTGGAAAAGATGCATTCTAGTCTCTGTTAGATTTTTTTTATTGTCACTTTTGAATTGTAGCTCAGAGAGCACCAAGGACTCCACAAAGAATACAAAGCACACAGTAAGAATAGCTGAAGTAATTATCTTCAACATTTAACCTATTGAAAAATTATTCAGCAATACAATACCATTAAACATAATTGGATAGTTGGTCAAAATCTACTGTTTTCTGTACCAGCACAGAGATAATATAAACAGTCCAGTGCCTGCTTGTAGCATGAAATCCAGCTCATGTCTTTATTTAATGGTCAATTTCATCAGGAATAACTGTTAGAATAATATCCTCATTCCCTCTACGTACTACCATACTGAGTGTACTGTCCTTTTTGATAATGTCACTAACATCATTGGCAGAAATTATTGGTTGTCCATTAATGCTTATAATCACATCATTTTCTTTCAGGCCTCCTCTGAAATAAACAAGAAAAAAGTATTAGTCCTATAAAAGACTCACACCTGCTTTCTATATCAAGATACTTCAAGATATGAGAATCATAATTCAATCCAAAACACTAATATTTGGCAAATATAGTATGTAACACTGTAACCTACTCTAAATGCTTACTTTGGGAAAAGAAAGTTTCCAGTGACACTGGACAAAACCAAGAGTGAACATGCATCCCTTGATAAAGAATTCATGATTACATACCTCTCATTGTAAAGTTTTGCCCACGGCAAAGAAAGAGCTGATATAATAATTGCACTTCAATTGTATGTACTACATGCAACATATATAGGATGCTATTTTTACCTTTTTTTCCTCCTATGCTTCATATAGCATCTTTATTGCCTTGTTGGTTCAACTCTCTCACAATATAAGCACAAAGCAGTAACAAATCCTGTCAATGTCTGGTCTCTGTGCATTTTTAAGCCCAGGATTTACAAACAATATGAGAGCCTTTGCAGTATACATTTAGATTCCTGTAACAGACTCCAAAGAGACCAACTACTACAAAATGTAGCTATTAACTAATGCACAATCTTATGAGCTTATCATTTGATATATGAGATAGATTAAAAATTAATTTTGAAACTGGGCCTATTTATAAAGGTCCATTTTCTGAGGCACACTGGAAAGATCTTTTATCAATTCCAAATTGTGAAATGCTTTTCTTTCAGAACTAATATTGATTTCATCTCTATATGTTTCTAATGGCAGTTTTAAAAATAGTCAGGTTCATTTTTAATCTCTGCTATTAACTGTCTTGAGGTTAATTGTTGAAAGACAGCATAAAAGCAACATAAATATTTAATAAGAAAATAAGTAGATTTTGGCATATTAATGACATTGATTTAAAATTGAAATAATAATTGTTCTATACACTTGTCTAATTGTTATTTAATTTATCTAATATATAATTGTTAAATTAGAGAGGGGTTAATACTTCAGTGATCATTTTTAAGAAGTAAAATATATCCAATTTCCTTTTTTAAAGAATCTTTTAAACATTTCCATGAAATAAACCTTACATGGTACCTAACAGCTGCAACTTTCATTGCCTTCTTTTACAAACTTTTCTTCTGATTGAGAAATTAAAGTTAGACCTCTAGAGCAAGAGTAATCTATCCATCAAGCTTGACTATGTTCATATTGGTGGCACTGAGGCTAATGAGAAGAGTTCAGCATTCTTTCCTCACCTCATCTTGTCCTGTCTTGTAGACAAACTCCAGCTATACCTTATGGAAAGACAAACCTACTTAACAGGCAGATACATGAATCAACCCTCGAGCACAACTATTTTATTTAGCCACAAAGATTTCACAAGGCTTGCTCATGCAAAGAGAAATACCTTACACAAGCAGTTCTTTCAAAAGAAGCATTTTTCAGGAATTACTAATTTCTTGACAGCCTACTATTTACAGTGCTCAAGAAGATCATTAGTATGAAATGAAGAAACTTCATCCTTGCTGTAGGTATGACAGCTCCAGAAAAATTAGTTTAATAAGGAGTACACATTCATTAAACTTTAATGTTAGTAGGGTAAATTGTGATAATACTTTCAAGATATGTCTGAAGGGATGAAGACTACAAAGAAGAAAAAATGAGCAGTTCTCTTTGAAGAATTAAGCCTTTGAAGAAATAAGTACAGAGATTACTTGAATAGTAATATGCTTTATGTGTCATAAGGATGTTCATATGACTGCCATATATCTACATACAGCCTTCAGTTCTGACTTAGGCAAGTTGCAAATTAGTTTTAACTCTTGTATTGCCCAGAATCATTCTGGAGTCAGGCAGCGCCAAAAATGAATTAAAGTAATAAAATTTAGAACTTTGGGTTTTGGTCACTCTTGCCCAGTAGCAGGATTCAATTTTTTTTTACTATCGGTTCTGTGGGCATGGCTTGGTGGGTGTGGCAGGGGAAGGATACTGTAAAATCTCCAGTGAGACGTGGTATTTGCCGGTTCTCCGACCTACTCAAAATTTCCGCTACTAGTACTGGTCAGAACCTGATGAATGCCACCTCTGCTCTTGCCTTATATTTCACAAAACACACAGAACATCTAACTCAGGGGTGGGGAACAATAGCCCTTTTATGACTTGTGGACTTCAACCCCCAGAATTCCTGAGTTGACCATAATGGCTCAAGAATTCTGGGAGTTGAAGTCCACAAGTCATACAGGGGCCATTATTCCCCTGATCTAACTCCTCCCATTTAGAAGCCTTAAATAGTATTATTTCTAGTAAATGGACTGATGTGGTACATGTTCAACATTATCCCGATACATCAATAGTTGCAGACTAATAACTAATAGATACATGGTAGAGTTAAGAACTCAGTGAGCCACTCATTTGTTCTGCCTTTTTCCTTCTCTACCACATCTGCAATATGAAAATAATGTTATTGTGCAAGATAACACATATATAACACTTTAACCACTTGACAGTGCTACATAAAAATTACTATATTGTTTTTTCATCAATAGTAACTTTTCTGCATTGTATTCTCAATTCACCAGGCATGGCACAAACACTAGGTGGATAAGCATATATAACAAGTGACCTGAATCAGAGCTATAATAGTGTCATTAGAAGCCAAGTTGGATGCACAATGATGGGCTTCAGTTACTTTTGAGTTCTACCACTGAAACCTTTTGCAATCATAAAAGCAGCTAGCAATGGTTTGCAGAATCAGATGTCTAATGAAAAATGAAAAAAATGGCAACAGCTTTTTAATAATAGATTTGGCGATCTAGCAGGTTTTCTCAAATATCTCAAAGAAGATTCTGTTGATATTAATACCTCATTTATTTATTTTTCTTATCAAGGTGCTTTTCAAAGCACTTTGATAAGAACAAAACAAGAATCCTTTAACTTACATCTCAGCTGGTGTGTCTGGAATAACTTCAATAATATAGGCTCCAGAATTAACATCAGGGAAATCTTCATATCGTTCCTTAAGTTCTTTAGCTTTACTAGAGAAAACAAAATACATCCACTGATTATTTAGTAAGAACATAATGATATGATCAAAAGATTTATAAAAGAAACAACTATGTTTATTTGCATCAGAAATAATTAAGCCATTTAGTTTCTGAAACATTAACAAATCTATTAAGGCATAAACAAAATAAGAGACAGGAATCTTTCACTTGTTTATTGGAATAAACATTGCTGTCCATGAAATAAAAAATATCTTTTGCTCACAGTATGAAATAATATTTTGCCTGGAAGTTCATTACTGACTCACGCTAAGCAAGTTTGTTTCATTTCTGCAGTCTAATGAAAAAGAATCTAGAAATACATCAAGGTTTTCTTCAAATATATTCCCCAGAACAGAATGGGACAACTTGCCACGGCCAACTCACCACAGGACAACTTGTTGTTCAAAATTCAAAAATTAAGTTAATTTCAATGGAGCTGTGGCCAATAATAATAAAATAAAAAAAATGAACCCCTCAATACAAGTTACAATAATTTTGACAAAAATGTGGTCACCAAGTAACTGAATGAAATGATGAATACAGTGCTGAATTCTCCTGCAGCACATTGGCCATGGTAAGTTGGCTGTGGCGAGTTGTCCTAGATGCCTCCCCGAAACTGGCTCCTGGAGTCAGGGATGGCATCCTGCCACACATCAGGACAATCATTATGCCTACAGGATCCCAAATTTGATTCCCCCAATCCAACATATAAGCACTCAAACCCAACTAGTGTTTTTTTTACCAAGGTAAGATATTCTTTATTCAGAGCCACCACTACCCTCAATGGCCCTGGTCCTGAGGTTGGTAAAGGACCTGAAACATGCCTTAGATTTCACACAAGGCCAAACAAGATTTTGGTGATGTATGTCAGATCTACTGCCTTATGCAGTAGACAGATCTGTATGAATCAGATATACTGCCTTGTGGATTATGGATAAAAATGATGCTGTTACAAATGGGCCTAGCATTAAACATGAGGATTCTGAGTTCATGAGTGCCTGCAATCAAGAGGGTTGCAGTTTTAAAACCTACCCCTGACTGAGAGACATCATTCGAATGCCAATGTATTTTTTCTTAGTTACAGTTTTTCCTGTTTTAAAAAGAAGAAAAAACATTAAATTGTATTATTCCCCTTCATCTAAAACAACAAAACAAAAAATTCTAACATACTACAGATTATGATTTGGCTTAACAATAACAGAATAAACAAAGTTGGAAGGGACCTCGGAGGACTTCTGGTCCAACCCATGCTCAAATAGGAAACCCTACATCATTTCAGACAAATGGTTGTCCAATCTCTTCTTTAAAACCTCCCATGTTGGAGCATTCACAACTTCTGCAGGCAAGTCCTTCCACTTATTAGTTGTTCCAACTGTCAGAAAATTGACTGTATCACCTTGACTGTATCACCTTACAGGTAGTTACAACCATTTGTTTAGTGATCAGTTGAAGTTACAACTACACTGAAAAAAGTGACTTATGACTAGTCCTCATACTGATGGCTATTACAGCATCCCCATGTGATCAAACCTTGGGTTCTTGGCAACCAGCATCTATTTATCAACCTTCCCCGCTGGATTCTGACAAAGTTGATGAAGAGAAACTGGATTCATTAGAATGTGTGATTCACTTAACAACTGCAGTGACTGTGGCAAAACGATCATAAAACTGAGTGTGATTTACTACCTTCCTTAGCAACATAAATTCTGGTCCCAATTGTGTTTGTATGTCAATGACTATCTGTACATACACATTATACAATAATATATAGTGCTTTCGGTCCTCATTTTTGCAGTAATCATTACATGCATTTTTCCTCATACCCAGTCTCCTTTATTTTATCATTGCACAGTATATAATTTTTCAAACGTTAATTGAGGCAGTCTGTAATATAATTTCTTTTACTCTGTTCCAAGCAGATTTCACATCCTCTTCCCTTACAATTTCTACTCATTCCATTTCTTTTCCTATAGACATTTGATTATCATTATATTTTACTGCACTTCAGGAGCCCCTAGTTGATGGGAAACAGGCAATAGTATGCTGACTTTCAAGGCCATCTTCAGATTAAATATACCCAGTTTGCATAGAATAGTATGCCCATGCTTGTGATGTATAAACACTATTAAGCAAACAAATCTGAACTTCATTGGTGTTTGTATCATACTACAAAATAGAATAGAATAGAATACTTTATTGGCCAAGTGTGATTGGACACACAAGGAATTTGTCTTGGTGTAAAAGACTGATCACTCTTGCAAGTGCTCAGAATATGACTGAAGCTGGTAATCTAGCCTACTCTATCTCTGTCTTATCAAAAAGCATTATTTGACAGCTTTTATTGACCAAAGCAACGGTGGGCCATGAAACACAACTTTGATACTAATGAATACATCTAATAAATAGGTAAGATATAAAATCTAAATGCTACCTTACATGAACAGTAGAATAAAAAAAACAGGACACAAATAAGAAACAGATGATATGGCTTGTTCAATGATATATTGGCTTACTAAGTGGGCAGAATTTAGAAACTGACCTTTCAAAATTCAAGCCCATTGACTTTACCTTTGTCTCCCTACTATTGCAAATTTAGTACAATACCTTTGGATTGTCGGTCATGTGATTCAGTGAGGAATTTTTTAATTTTGTCTGATGGTATTGCAAAGGAGATTCCAGCAGTGACCTTCAGAGTATTAATACCAATCACTTCCCCATCCTGTAGTAATGTGAATAGTTAAGTAAACATAAACTCTTCAAACAAAGGCTCCAATTCCTATTCTGTAATCTAAACTAAAATTTTATCTGTGATTTATTTGACATATAGCATCTTTAGTTCTAAACCGATTTTCAGCTAGAAACTGAATATTGCTTTCAAAATAAATTTTAGCTTTATTTTCAATTTGGGTGCAACTGGATGACAATATCCAGTTTTTATACCAACTTGTTGCAGTCACAAAATGGACTATATAATCAATGTACATAGTACAAGTTTGAATGATGAACTCCAAAGACAACACATAAAATAGAGAATGAGTGATTAAATGAATACAAAATCTATTATTTATGAGGGACACGGAGAAGAGTATTATTTTTTATAAAGTACCAAACCTCAAAATATTAAGTAAAAAAAAATACTTACCAGGTTCACCAAAGGTCCTCCAGAATTTCCATACTGTAAAATTTAGGAAGAAAATACCTTTTAAGCTTGCATTTACATTGATTTAGAAATATATTTTATGTTTTGAAATATATTTGCTTCCTAATGCATTCCAAAAAAGATGTTCACATTACTTATTCACAGCATTTCTTAACAGGAAGTAAATAGTCAAACTTAAATGGAATAAATCTAATAGAAGGTCCTTCCAGACCTGTATTACTTCTGTTTGAAAGGCAATATTAAGCTTACGATTCATTTAGATATTATGTGGTAAAAAAACATGAAACTGAGAGTTGGTAAACCCAGGGTTGTTATAAATGGGAATACTACACAGTATAATTCTGGAGTTAATTAATGTAGAATAATTGCAAAAATCCTTATGCCAAATAACTAATCCAAAATATAAAGATGAACTGAGATTTAACAAATCTTTCCAGTACCGCCAATAATCAGTGCATTGCTCTATGACAAATCATGCTAAACTATGACACATACATAGTCATAAAAGGATTAACACCCCAAAATATACCAGTAAACTATGCATTAAATGTAAGAGATTTATAAAAAGTGTCCTACATTGATAATGGCATCTGTTTGGATGTAGTCCATATCAGAGTTTCTAAGTCCCAGCTCTTTGCCTCCTCGCTGGGTAGTGCTAACAATCCCAGTA